GAGGGAGCAGGCCGTTAAGTTGACTCGTAATAAACCCGTGAAAGTGTTAAATGTGATACAATGAAATAATATGAAGTTCATATATTTTGCACTGCGGTATTAGATACATATGGTGCACGATCCTCGCAGTAGATAGGCCTGATTTTTTTCAGGTCTGATTTTCGCTATTGCTTAAATAGCACTATCTACTGCGAGGATCGTGCATCATATGTATCTAATACTGCAGTACAAAATATTTGAACTTCATATATTTCATTGTATCTCAGGAATCTTAGTTTTTTCATAAAACATATGCTAGGCACCCTGGATTTCACAGTTTCAGAGCACTGGGCTCCCTTCAATTTTTCTTAGAGAACAGTTCTGGTCTATAAAGTCATGTACAGCTGTACATGCTTCCACTGTGGTTCAATTTTATCCTTGATTCAAATTTAAGTCAGATATCTGTGTTTTAGGTATGATAATTAATGAGACGGACATTTAACCAACAGTTACCAATAAATAAAATTGAACCAGAACAGATATTAAATTTACCAGGCTGTGGTCTAGCAGTGCCCAGTGGCCCCTTGCACCTTACTTTTGCTTTTGGGTGACTTAGAAATTTTAGTTTTTTCATACAAAAAATATACTGCAGGGGTTTCATTAAGGGCCAGGCACCGGCCAAACTGACCGGTTGTAAGGGCAGTTTTGCCCACCTGGTTTAACAATCTGGAGGAAGGTTTATCTTATAAAGAAGTTTAGCTCAAAAATTTTTGCCCGCCTGTGAAAACCAGTTGCCCACCTGCTGAAAAAATTAATGAAACCCCTGATACTGCAGGCACCCTGAATTTCACAGTTTCAGAGCAATGGGCTCCATTCCATTTTCCTTAGAGCACAGCCTTGTTATAGGTATTTAGTAAGTCAACCTTCTTGTTTGCAGTCTTAGTTTGGTTTCATAACCCAGGCAACTTAGCTGCAAAGAGATTCTGCCAAATAACAAGACTGGGGCTTGACACTAATGGTAGCCAACTAACCACAGACTGGTAGAAATTCAGTTTTGGCTAGTGGTTTTCGATTTCCACGAGCCAGTTTAGCTAGTAAACAAACTCAAATTGTTTTACCACCTAAGTTCTCACCAGCCACTTGGCTAGTAAGTTGAAAAGGTATTGTCGAGCCCTGAAGACCAAACTCCAGCTGGGATTGAGTGTAGCTACAAGTAGTTGATCAGTCAAACAATTGATTTATCAGTTAATCAATCCATTGGAATACAAGATTTACAAATAATAAACAATCATAAATGAGAAAAAAATTACCATGATACCACTGGCTTACCTGACACACTATAAACAGCAAGCTTTCTCGGATGAAGAACTGCCAAGTGTAATTGATCCACCCCTCTGCATAGAAACCAAGGAAACGTTGTGGCTATTTTAGCTTTACACTGTATTCAGTGAAATTTACTACAACGTATAGAGTAAGTTCTAAATAATTATTTTGAAATTATTATTCAGTCAACTTACGAAACAAATTTGCCAGCTTCCACTTGCAAAATTGGCTGCTGTAGCTGTACCTCCAACATAAGATCATCTGGTTTAAAATGAGGTGGCTTGGGGCAATAAATTCGTAGGATTCCATGATAGCTTCCAACTATAATTTTATCTGAAAAAAAAAAAAACCTACAAATTAACACTTTACCAGTTGCTTTCTATTCAGCTCTTCTGAAGCAACTATATATACTTAGGTAAAAAATAATATAATTAAGGATAAAATTTGATTGATTTTTTTCTACCATTTCAGGTAAATATGAAAATCAAACTAGTTTGAGATCATTTTACCCTGACATCAGTATAGGCATATTCTCGGCCATAACATTCTCTTAACATTCACTAAGGAGCTGAAAAGGAGAATTTATTTAACAATCAAGAGCTTCTGAGGTTTGATTCAGGGAAGACACTGTAAGCAAATTTAGATCCTAGTCACTCTCTAGGGTTAGAATTCTGACAAGAATAGTTAGTTCCAAAATCAAGACTTCTCCAGTTGGTAATCATTTTCTTTAACCTTGTGACCTCAATGAGTGATTCAGGTGTGATATTGTAAAGAGACTTTAGATGCTAGTCACTCTTGGGTGTTAAAATTCTGATGAGAATATTAAGCTTGTTCTAAAATCAAGACTTCTTTAATTGGTGATCCTTTTTCTTTATTCTTGTGACCTGAATGAGTGATTCAGGGGTGATATTGTACATGGAGAATTTAGATCCTGGTTACCCTTAGAAATCAAAGGGCTAACACCTCAAGTCAGCCCCTTACATGTTTATCAACCTAATAAAAAACAACAGAAAAGGGGTAGAATTGCAAAACTATGGTACACCTGTAACATTGACTGGGGATTAACACGGTGTGTTTTGCACGAAATAATTTCAAGTCACGTAATATCCCTAAGGACATTTCTCTATAAAAAGGAACTTGCGTTTCGAAAATCGTTATTAGTCTCCTAAGTACAAAAATAGATCGAAAAAATGTAATGGGAACACAAGGTTCAAGAAAGGGAAAAGAATACAGAATTGTAAGTACAATTAGCTCAAGAACATTACGGCACAGTGCCTTAAAAGTATTTAGTGTAATTTGTTTATTTCAGTTTGACTTCACATGCTCATAAGAAAGGAGTGCAGAAATAAAGTCCAAAAATTTCCCGAGCTGTTAAGGTCTGAATACAAATTCAATATATGGTGAAATAAAAGAGACCAACTTTATAAAATGTTAAAGTGCACCTAAACCCCAAATTTTTTTTTCGCTTAACGAAATAAGCGTATTTTTTGGAGTATTTCTGTGCAAAAATTTTTTTATTTGCTCAAATCCTCAATTGTCTGTGCCCTGTCAAAATACGGAAAATCAGCCGCCATCTTGCCCCAAGGCCGAGTTTAGCCCTTTGTCATAGCAAAAGAAGATGGGCTAACACTCAAAACATCAGCCGAAATTCTTTACAGCAGCCAGTTTGCATTATCAATTCAGTTGATAAAACCAAAAATTACCTTGTTACTCCTATCAGTGTAGCACCACAGTTACTTTTATTAGAAACTTAACCCCTTTATTCACTTGTCTAAAAAACAGTTTCCAGCTAGAAACAAGTGAGTACCAAAATTAAGGGCATGAGCGTCTGCTTTCTCATATATGCATTATTAACCAAGCGTGAGGTCACAATGGCTGCATATTGGCTGAGTTCTTTTTTTGCATTTTTATGGTCCTAGACAAAGTTGAGGTCCATAAAAATGTGAAAAAAAACAAAAACAAAAAAAAAAAACAAGGCTAATATCAGCCATCTTGACCAAACAAGCTTGGTTCATAAAGGATTTAGTGTATTGCAAACATATTTGGCTTTTTTAAGAGTAGAGAAATGACTTGTTTGCTTTGAGAGCTGGAAAAGAAAGCCAGCTGTGTTTGTAGCACAACTAACTCATGAGTCATTTCTGTTTTCTTTGTTTGACTATCTTCTGCTGCTTTTTGCATTTCCATGGCTGAAATTGTCCAAGAATTATGTACATAGTTCTAATTCTTTTTTTTTTTTGCTGCACAGAATGAATGCAGGCAATCCTGAGTGGGCAAGATCTTGCCTGCTCGGGTAGCCAATCAGAACATATGATTCCCTTCCTCTTGCTTATGGGTGCTGCGAGCAATGTGCTAAATTCCCATTACTAATTCACCTATTGCTTTCTTTCCAGTTTTAACCAATCTTTTTGTGTAGGTACAGGAATAAAGCAAAGACTTCATTTATTTCAGTTCAAGACAGGTTGCTGTTTTGTCAAACAAGTAGCTGGTGAAAATACCAGCTGCTGGAGAACATTGACAAGGTACAGTTGAAGAACACATATACTTATCATCGTTAAATGAATGAAAGCTTCTGTTAAGCTCTTTCTACTTAACATGGGTATTATTTCTGCTACAGCTTAGCCAAATTTCAAAGTGACTTTCCCCTAAAAAATATTTTAAAAAGAACTGTACACTAAGAAAAACTCAGTTATAAGATCTTCATCAAATAGAGATTAGTTATAGTTTTCTCCCAAAATTTATCTATGAACTCTTTAAAAATTCGATACGAATTAAAGCTTGGGTATTGTATGTGTGAATAGAACAAACATGAGGATTAAACGATGTAACTCTTAAAACATAAACAGATCTTTCCTATACAGAATTTGGTTTATTTAGAAATAAAATATTTTTATTTTTAACGACCCATTGCCTACGCCGATACCAACATAAACATAGCGATTGGTGTCGTTAGCAACGAGCATAAAAATAACGTCTTTTGAGTTGACAGGTAACCTAAGTAATAATTATAGACATGTCATTTTCAACTATGGTGAAATTAACAGGTACACTCACAAGAACTGACTTGGGAGAAGTAAACAATATATCACAGCCCTTAAACGGATTCTTTGGCAGCCCAAGAGATGGCAATAAAGCTGCCACAGACTAATTAATCTCCTCTTATAACAGGACTTCCTAAATGACAACCACATTAGACACAACACGAATGTGTGGCCAGTGTGTTTCAGATGTTAAAAGAAAACAGAAATTCTCGTAGATTTACCTATCTGCAAGCCATTGTTGTCGATATTTGCCACACACAAGCATCCTAGATCGAATTCTTCGTCGCTTCCTGCATAAGTAGCCCACCAATCTCTCGCTTTGAACAGCGACATCTTTGGATGCGTGAAGATTTGTTGTACCGCGGTTACTCAAACAAAGTCACGTGACTTGTACAGAGTCGCTCATTCAGCCACCGATTGCTACCCGACGATTTCCGACTTCATACGAAATTTGAGAAAAATTCAACCCTTCAACAGTGATATCCTCTCTTGTAACCAATGTCCATTTCCTCGAAATTTTTTGTTTGAACTGTCGTTATATCGACGTTAAGAAGATTTCTCGGCGGTGCGTAGATATGAGCTTTATTTTCGCGCTGTAACACGAATTAGCGCAGCAAAGCGAGGACGCGAGTAAACTGGAGCCCAAGGAGAACAATTTATACCCACAAGCCACGGCATACAGAGTTTTTCACAGACGAGGAACATTTTATCGCAAATTCTTACATTTTAGCGACATGGGTCAGTACAAAAATATTTTTCCCAGTACAAAAATATTTTCCCAGTTCAAAAATGTTTTTCCCAGTACAATAATATTTTTCCCAGTACAAAACTATTGATCCCAGTACAAAACTATTTATTCTAGTACAAGAATATTTTTCCAGTTCAAGTGGGGAATGGGAACTCAGAGGTTATTGCGAGCATCCTTGGAGCACATGTAAATATGGCGGCACCTTTGGCGGCTGGTTTTTGCCATTGCTGTAGCTTCACCCGCAAAGTCTACAAGCAACACCACTGAACCGTCGGATTTGCCGAAGACGAGGAAATTCTCTTTGCCAAGCTTTAAGTCGTACAAAGCTAAAAAGAGGTCCGAGAGAAGCTCGTTTTTTCGAGAAAAATCAACAAACAAGACAAAGAAAAGCAAACTAGAGCCAGAAAAAGAAGTCACAATTACTGTCGGGATAATGACAAGTAAAGAGACTGGAAAAATACTTTTGTACTGAAAAAATATTTTTGTACGGGGTAAATATTTTTGTACTGGGATAAATATTTCTGTACTGAGATAAATACTTCTGTCTTGGGATAAATATCTCTGTACCGGGATAAATATTATTGTACTGAAATTAATATTTTTGTACGGGAATATATATTTTTGTACTGTGATAAATATTTTTGTACTGCCCCTGTGGGCCACCGTACCTTCGCACCGTAGCTTCGCTATCATGACCCTCAAATTATAAGACGTCAACCTAAGAGCTCAAAAAATCTAATTGTCACCGGTTTTCCCAGACTACTTCTCACAAAAATACTCATTTTATCAGAAAAATAAATAAGTAAATAAATTTTAAAAATGTCTCAAAAAGGAAATGACGTTTTATCCCATGATCCTCTCTGGTTACGATATGAAAAATAGGCAACTCGGGTTCTCGATGATCGCGAAGAAGTTTTTTGCTAAATTTAAACACTCTCCGACAGATAAGTTTTTCTGTTCTTAGAAACTGCTTCCTGTATAATGAGTGACAACGAGTTGAAGATTTGGAGGTGACGGCTGTCACAGCGGATTTGGACCCCGGTCCGAAACCGCTTGAGGATTTGGAACGAGGGGATCCATATCCTCTAGCAGATTTGGACCGAGTGATCCATATTCCCTGGTGGATTTGGATCGGGGGGTCCAAATCTAGGGGGGTCCAGAACCGCTAGGACACCGTCAAAGGAAGGGACGAACTTGATAACAATATGTTTTCTCGATAGAAAATTCTGTTTGTTCAAATATCGGGTGCATTAAATCTGCTAAATTTTTTCTGCATGAATATAATCCAATGGACGAGTCAAAATACATATGACACGTTTTTACTCCCCCACCCCAGCCCCTCTCCTTATTTTTGACCGTCACTCCCCCGCTTGGTACAAATTGCCTTCTCTCCCCAGCCTTCCGCTGCCATTAAAATCAAAGATGGCGGTAATTTTTCCGCTAAGAAAATACTGAGAACTCGGTCGCCCAAATTACGCCTGCTCAGCAGGCTAGATGAGCTGTCAAACCTAGTTTCTTATTCATTCATTATTCGGTGAGTTTCACTTATTAACCCTTTAACTTCCATGAGTGACCAAAACATAATTTCTCTTTACAATATCAATTCGATATCTTTTAGATAAGTGATAAGAACAAGGAAAATATCACTTATGGGATTATCAGTTGATGCAATAACTAATTCTCCCAACCAACATCATAAGAATTGAGGAATTATCAATTAGATCTTGGGCGTAAAAGAGTTCAAATCTGCTTGAAAGAGTAAGTGGTTCCACGAGTGACTCCATCTCCCGTGAAGGAGGCGGGTAAACATGCGCTACGGCGAAAAATATTTCTTAATCATCATTTTCTTATGGGGTGCCATTACCGCCAATATTCAGCTACTGTCTTTTTTATATAATGGTGCTTAAGATATGAAGCCAGTTATGTTTTATGCAGCTAATCATTTTATAAAAGTAAAGTCTGTTTACGAGCCTAGTGGCCCATTAGGCCGGTGCTTAACTCCGGTTTCTGTAGCATGAAGCGACTAGAAGCATTTCTACTCCCCCCTGGATGGGATGCCAGTCCATCACAGGGTTACCCCTCAGCATTAACTTTGCCGGTACCCATTCATACACCTGGGTGAAGAGTGGCACTGTGAGAGTACAGTCTCTTCCCTAAGAACACAACACAGTGTCCCAGCCGGGGCTCGTACCCCGACCACTCAATCCGGAGTCGAGCGCACCAACCATGAGGCCACCGCGCCTCCACACAATCATTTTATAAAATGGCGCTTTAAAACATATGGATCGCTTTTCATGCAGTCTTTTTTATGCAGCTAATCATTTTATAAAATGATTAGCTGCATAAAATGATTAGTTGCATAAAACATAATTGGCTTCATAAAAAGCGCTCCATATTTTTTAAGGCACCATTTTATTAAATGATTAGCTACATAAAACATAATTGGCGTCATAAAAAGCGCTCCATATTTTTTAAGGCACCATTTAATTAAATGATTAGCTGCATAAAACATAATTGGCTTCATATCTTAAGCACCATTTTATAAAAAAAACAGTAGCTGAATATTGGCGGTAATGGCACTCCATATTTTCTCCTCTTGATTCTTTAAGTAATTAAAAAATATCTTTAAAAGAAAAGGTGAAAAAAATAAAACCTTGTTATAATAGTTTTGGGGATGAATGAATGAAGTAACTGGGAAATTCTTTGATAACCGAGTTTCAATGCACAATTAAATATATATAAAAGTAGCGTCTGAAAAAAATTAATTTCTAAGCTTGATAAATAGGAAATGAGACAAGCTTTACAACTTATTACCTGTGAATCACAATCATGGGTTAAAATTTCTATACATATTCATAAGTACTTTCCAGAATGTCTACTTTTCAATCAATCTGCGACTAGAATAATCTTTCCAACTAGTTTCAGTAATCCAGTGACCATTTAAGAGCTGGAGTAACGCAGTGACCACGAACGGTCACGCAGGCACGCAATAACTACACAAAACACCGGGACATATTTCGAAAAGGGCTTCTCGTGACCGGGGAAACTAAACTATACTGAGCTTACGTCATCCTTGTTTGTTTTTTCAGCGAAACAAGTCTCTTGACAGCCGTCAATTGGTTTTCTGGATTAGAAAGCACATTGCGTGACAGCCGTAAAGGAGAGTAACTAGAAGAAACCGATTAAGCTTTGACACCACAATCATTTCCGCCATATAAAGAATTTCGTACTGTTCTAATCTTTCTTTTCCTCGCTATCGGTAGCTTCCCCTATCATCTGCTTCACCTGCTTGCGTCCTTTCCGATGTATAAGTTCCATGTAGGCTCGGCCACCAAATATACTGAGAAGGAGACCTGCACCCATTGAAATGGCTATCCAAGCAGCAAAGCTTAGATAGGGGTCTGGAAACAAGAAATTGGCACAAATCAAATTTACACGTTTGAATTCCTTAAGCGTGTTAACGAAGAAAGAAAATCAGGACGGTCTTTCAAAGAGCTGATTCTAAGTATTGTGGAAATCCCCTAAATTCAGTTGATATAGCCTGAACCAAAAAACGTGTTCGTTGAGTACGTTTCCAAAAAAAAGGAGTTTCATTGTAATAAGTCGAAGAAATTTCAGTTTTGGTTGATCACCCTTAAATATTTTGATTTAAAGGGAAAGATTAGACTGCGAGAAGTTCCGTTCTTCTCGGAGGAGAACTTTTCGTTCACCTAACTTCCAAAGTTCCACGCAGCACCTCACGTCCTTTTTGTTTCCGCGGATTTTGTTGTTGGTGTTGTTGTTGTTGTTTTCACGGTTTTGTTATTTGACTCGCACGACGGACTTCGCCGACAAGGAAAGAGTGCACGTAGTATAAGGAAACATGGTATAAGGAGAGAATGGTCTACCACTGGGCGAAAAAACAGATTTGACGTCAGACAAATGCAGTCCAGAGATAAGTGGAAAATTAAAAAGCGACATGTTCTTACCTCGGCTCTTTTCGCAAATAAATGGCAGCGCGATCTCGCAGTTTAAGTCAAACCAAGTCACTTTACCATTCTGGATATGGATCTTAACACAATCCTCGCCATCACATCTCCTTGGTGTACCACGGTCATAATGCTTGTCATTGGGTTCCTCCTTGTCCCAGTTGTAATATGAAGATCGGTTATTAAATTGTCCCTGGCCTATGTCGTTCCATACGTATATCCCTGCATAAATAAATCAAATAATTTGAAGACTAAGTCTCTGCAGTAACCATCATAGAAAAAAGGAGATGAGCTTGCTCATTTCACATCTAAAAGTGGTACATTTTGCTGAGAGCAGATGTGCGACAGGTCTGGACGTTTACCAGATAAAAGGACTGGGTCGAGTACATGAAATGGAGCTTTTGCGGTAAACTTTGCTCTAAGAGTCAATAGAATTAAAAGCAAACGAAGTCTTCCTTTACTACTTTATCAAAGAGCTTTTGCAGTTGTGCGACGAGGCTTCGTACAGGAAGGAGAGAAAAACAAGACGAGGCTGTCGTTTCAAATTACTCCTCTTCAGAGGGACTCCAGTAAACTTCGTTTTTTTTTTTTCTAGACCCAGTCCTCCTGACTCGTGTCTATTTACAGAGGCATTAGTATTGTTTCAACACAGCGGTCAGATGGATAATTTGCTATTTTCGTAGTTTATAAGGAAAGTTTGAAGTTTCCAAGGCTGAGACTTACACACATTGTTGTTCCACACTTAACCTACTCGTTAGTTTACACTCTCCCAATTTTTTATTTTTTTTTTTCACTTTGCACAGCGGCGTGATGAAGTCGTCTGTAAGCTTCGCCGTGCTGGTAGTAGTCGTTCTTTGTTGTGTTCATGGTGGAGTTTCCGGTAAACAGTAAGGGAAATTTGTTGAAAAGGGAAGAAAAGAGCCACACAAGACAATTGTGGCGATAGCAGGTCTATGTATCTAGCGGAAAGTGGACTAATCGGCAAGGTTCTGTTATTTGCCTTCATCACCGAAACAAAGCCTCCGCGCAAAAAAAATCTGGAATATCTCTCATTTAAATTAGAACACGATTTATCTTTTTCCAAAGTCCTTCATTCATTAGTCTTACGCATCGGAATAGTTAGGAATTTAACCTTTTCTTCCTCACTTTCGTGTGTCCCTCTTATTGTTTTCAAACTCTCGTGCATGCGCAGTGTTTGACCGCTGCGTTCAGCCTTTCCTCCTTTAAAAGAAACTACCGTCCCAATATTTCACGTTAGACCATGTCGACCAGGGGCCTGGCCTCCTTGTTGGACCCATTTCGTACTGAATACTTACCAGCTTCCACTCGGTCGTTGAGCCCAATCCATATGTTCGTTTTTATCATATCTCCGATCAATCTGTTTTTTGAGTTGCTGGCTATCTTTACAAGCATGGCATTTTTATCTCTGCAAGACTGTCGTGCCCAGTCCCACGTGACAGTCTCGAGCTCATACCAGTAGCATGTGCCACCACCCGGACATTTCCAACCAGAGTTATCTTAGGGAAAAAACGAAGAGAACGTTTGTTTGAGTCGTGAAACAAGCATCATAATCAGAAGGAGTAGAGTCTAGTGACCTGGGAAATTTCTCAATGACTTTACTGAAACACTTCAAGGGAAATATGACCAATTTTTATCATGGAGCTTCCCTGCAAAATTTAGTGCAGTGGAAGCGCGGAAGCTCCTCGTGTGCCAAGTTTTTTTCTTACTAAATGTTGACGTCATCTGTGATGCATTACTATGCGGACGCATGGCAACAAGGAATCTATTTGATAAGTATATTATAAGCTGAAGGAAGGAAAAATGCGGTTAGAACATTCTGTAGTGACACACTCAGCTGCGCTTCACATGCTGCTTTCAAGTTCAAGTTCAAGTTCAAGTTCAAAGTTCAAGTTCAAGTTCAAGTTCAAGTTCAAGTGCTTGTTTTCGTTTTGTTTTTTAACCACATTTTCGCATTATCTGTGATCTATTAATGAACGGGCGCACAGCAACATGCACGCTCTTTTGATTAGATCATAGGACACGTCACTCCTCACCTTCTTTGGACGCCCTCTCACATACATAACTCCTGTGTGCTTTACAAACCACGTCGTTCCACTTTTTGTTGATGCTTTTCATCTCTACACAACTCTCCACATTGCACTGTCCGTTAAAGTTGTTCGGTTCAGTGTTGGAGGGGTCAGTTTCGTCCCATGCAAAATATCTCGGCGTATCAAACTTGTTGTAGTTCCACAAGAACCTTGATTCTTTGCTTCTGTCGTTCAATCCAATCCAAGCACCCGAACCTGATTGAAGAAGCCCTCCAACAAATCTGTAAATAAACATAGCAAAAAAATTTAAGGCTCTTGGTGTTTAATTACAGCAGAGCTCACCACGGTTATCATAGCGACTAAAAGAGTTGCCACTCTCCTTGGTGTGTCTTGGTATACTTCAATGGTCAGCGTGCACCATTCGTTTGAAACTTTTTTTTCGACGATGATAAACTTATATTTAACTTTCCGGTTGATCCAACGTTAGCAAGAAAATAACGAAATCTAAAATAGTCTACGAATGCTAAGAACTCCTCTCAAGCACGCGCACACTGAACGTCACGGTCTATAGAAAAAAAACGCGCGTTATCGGAGAGCTTATGCATCACGTTTACGACAAACAGTAAACGGCAATAATTTATTAGTTTCCCAAGGTCTGCTCCTAAATGTATTTCTGCGAACGCTGGAGAGGCAAATGGCCTTTTCCCTCTATAATTCACAACCAATACTGCGTATTCAAGGGGAGACGTGAAAAATTACCTTTTGAAGAAACGGAATTATTTTACAGCTTACAAATATAGCAAGATAGGATCGAACTTCTCAGTAGGAGATTTTGGCTTCTAAATCAACCTTTGTAAGTAATAGTTTACATTTACCAATTCTCAATCACGCACAGGTATGCTAACAAATAAATAGCGCGATTGCGCGTGGAAAGAGTGAGAAAGAAATTAGATTTGTGCTCGAAAACACAAGAACGCCCACATCAGTTTTCAAAATCAGGGTTACAGTTTTTTGATGCGATTGGCCAATTTGCGAAATCACGCGTGCCGCGCGTGAGTACGACAAGAATCCCAAAGGGGGGAAAGGAAGAGAAAAATTGTAATTTTAAATTTAAAACGAAACAAATTTTCTTCAAGACTTGACCTAAACTTCAGACAAATGAATAACATCAGGCTTTCTCTATTTTTACCATTCGACGAAGGAGCACAAAAGTTACAACCTTCTTTATATTTTCACACAAATACATGTTTTTCCTTTCCAGTCCTCCAGTGGATGATCGTTACTTTGGATTTTTTTCCCATAGAAGTGGCGGCAGTGAAATTTTTCTGGTTTGACCGTGGTAAAAAGATCAGGTAATTAGAGCACGTTTACACTTGAAAATACATATGAAATAACAATAAGGCTTTATGAGAGAGTACAACAAAACTTCACTCGTAGAATGTAGCAAAATTTAATTATCTGAATGTTTTCACATATACAGTCTCATGGCACAGACAGTCTAACTGTTGGGGAAAGTGGGGACCGGTGTTGAGTAGCGTTCACTCTCTCTCGAGTGCATAGGTTCGTACAAGTAGGTTTGATAGTTCTTATATTGTTAGTTACTTTTAACATAATTTTACCTTACGATATTGTGAAGCGCGACTGAATATATCCACATAGAGGTCTGCGCTATGATTTTAATGTAAATTATTATTATTATTCTCTTGATTGACCTCACAACAGTGTTTCACCCACAGATTTTAGAGTAAGAACAGCCTCACCAATTTTTCCACAGAACAGCATTACCTGAAAGTACCGCTAAAAATGCTCACTGTCGTTGTTCTTAGAGATGGTCCATGGCACTCGGAGAACCAGTTATCAAGTGGTTGTCCCAGTGGAGAACCACTTGATATGGAGTTCTAGAGACGCTGAAAAGACACTTATGGAGTTCTAGAGACGCTGAAAAAGCGAGACAAGAGAACCTCAAAAGTATGGTTCACAATGTTCCATTTGCCAAAGAAACGCTGTTATCTCAAGCACGTATTTTTGTGTTCTACTGCTTTCGAGACGTGGATTCAACAAGAATCCTCGATGGACGAGTCGTCAGGATTTGTTTCATCCAGGGTGTAAACTGTTTGGGCCATTCTCCACAAACACAACAGAAGGCTTGTGTGCTTGTTTTCCCTTCCTGTTCCGATACCGTGGGCATCATTTACAAGACTATCCATCACAGACTGAATTATCTTAGGAAAGAGTTTGAGGAGCGGATAGTGGTGATTGGACTGGATATTCCAGGCATGGAGCAGGGAATGAAGAGGAGGACATCGCAGCCATCGTGTAGCCGGTGGAAGTTCCTGACGAACAAGTAGGGGCGGTTGCACCCTAGCAGAAGTAATCTAAAATCGTATTCCGGCTATTGAAAAAGGGCTGTTTAGCAAGCAGAGAAAGCGTGCAAAAGCAAATGAATTCAAAAGGAAGAAAAGAGAAATTTATTCTCTTTAAATAACTTTTTTCTAATTTCGTTGTATTTGTATGCAGTGCGTGCAATTATGAATAAAATGATGAAAAGAGATGATCTATAAAAAGGTATAAAGACGTCTTTCTGTAAGACAGAAATTTTGGAAAAGGGATTAGGAGGCTTACCACTAACTTAATTAAGCCGAACACTCTGCTTTTGTGCCAAACCGTCTTTCAGTCCATTCACTTCCCTAGGCCCTGCTTGCACTACACCCAAAAATTTGGTTTGGTGTTTTCAAAACAATTGAAAATTTTAAAACGAATTTTTTTTGTTTTTGTATGGGCGTTCGCACTTGAGACATGCGAATTATTTGTGTAACCACAAATGTCAATCAATCGACGTCGACGCCGCCGTCGTCTTCACCCGCAATGGACATTTCCTCGACCTGCAGAATCTTGGTTTGAAATTTACATCCAGCGTAACTGGTGCAGGTTCGCTGTCCCTGTCTGACCATTCTCCTCGTGAATCCATCTCTGATGGGGTCACCTACGTAATGGTACTACTTCGCTTGGTATAAATTACGAATTATAACATAACCAAAGTAAAGTGCGCGTTCTGATTGGTCAATTTAGCGTCCCCCATTTGCCCATGGCTGTACGCTGCTGACGTGACCAAATGCAAAGACTATTTTTCCGCGCGCGCTTGTTTTTTCTGGTCGCGTAAGATTTGTTAAATAAAAGGGAACTCTTTAGCTACAATGTACCATTGTTATGTTATAAAACAAATGGTAAACACCACAGCGTACACTATTGAGTTATGGATGCACTTGGGAGGTTTGCTAAGCACTCAAGAAGCTAGAGTCGCTCTCGGCTATCGCCTCGAGCGACTCTTACGCTTCTTTCGTGCTTAGCAACCTCCCGCGTGCATCCATAACTCAATAGTGTACACTGTGGTGTTTACCATTTGTTAAATATGATGACCCTCCGAAGGGTATCTGTCAAGAAACAATACTTTTCTCATCCGACGAAATATTGTAGGCTTCCAAAGCTAGTCGACGGCTTCTTTGAAGTTTGGTGGCACTTGCGAAAATTTTGATGGGTCAAAAAACTCGTTCGCACCGAAAATGGTTTCGCGTTGACAGTTTTTTTTTTTTTTTTTTTTGGAAAAACAAACAAAAATTCGCGTAATGCGAAACAGGGCCTTACTTTCCCGTTGAAACAGGGCCTTACTTTCCCGTTGACAAGACAAAAACTATCAGAACCGGAAGATGGCTATGGTCACTATACCAAGCGTGGGTTCGTATCGCACAGACCAAAACGATATTTCACTGAAACAATTTTCAAAGCAAATTTCTGCATGTTTTAACCTTACATGGTCAACCAAAGATGAACTAAAAGCTAATCGTGAACTTTTATTACAACACTTCTTACGTGTTATCCTCGCTGTTGTCGATGGTGGCAAGTTTGGCTCCAAAATGTCCCTGGCAATGATAGTACGCGTCCAGCCAGGTCTTCGGTGTAGAGAAATAACGATAGCACTTTCCATTAGAGTAATGCCAATCGTTCAGACACATGGCTGTAAAGAAACCAGACAATTGTCTTAGATGGGGAACAAGGCGAAAATACTTACATTCCAAAAAAATTAAACAAAATTAAATCAAGAAAAGCAAAACAAAACAAAACAAAACAAAACAAAAACAAGAAAACATAACGAGAGGAGAATGAACGCATCGTGAGTAAACCGAAAAGGATGCCCGGTGTGAACGTCGGTGAAGGGGCGGGGAGGGAAGAAGGAAGGGGTGGGGGAGGGGGAAGACTCTTGCTCTACCCCTCCTATCTCCCTCCCTTTGACCGTCGCTTACATTTCTTTCTCTCCCCAGCCTTCTGATACTATAAAAATCAAAGATGGCACTTATAATTTTCACGAAGAAAATTCTTTTATGAAAGAAGTGAAAGGAGGGAAGAGAACTGAGAAAAATCAAACGGAATTCACCCTTTCGTTTTTCCCTTTTCCCTCTTTATCTCCACTTGTTGCTTTCACTTCATTCCCAATCTCCTCCTTACACAACGTTCAGGTCTTTAAAATACTCTTCATTAATTGAATTTCGCCTCCACATACGTATTACCTGCATGTAGGGAATTAGATGGACTTGAGGAGGGGTCAGGAACGGTAAAATAGGTAGAAACGGAAGCGGAAGTGCCGGTGGCAATAGCTTGCAAGCAGGCCCTCATAATTAGCCCTGTAGGACGTTGCGTTTCTCCGTCTGTGAAAAGGCTTGAAGCGAGTCGAGGAAAGGTTTTCTGGGTATGGCACTGGCACTTAAGATCACTCTTAGACCCCTACGGACCCGTGGACCTCTCGCCGGTTTGCGTTGATCCAAACCTCAAACTTTCGCGCGGGCTAAGAAATGCTCTTGTTGAAATATGTCCAGAAATGCATGACTTGGCGAAAGTGACGATTCAGACGAAATTTCGCAAAGGTTATAAACGAAATCACCTTGACGAAATTGACTAAAATTCGTCAAAATCGTCAAATCTATGAACATTCACTCGGTTTGACGATATTTCGTCAATCACTGGGTGCATCTCTGGACGTAAGTGTCTTGCCGAGGGCTCTACGGCAAGGGCTCTACGGCGGCAATGGTGTGGCGTGACTGGCGTCTCCTCCCATAAACAGATGTATTTTGCAACAACTTAGAAAAAGAAATTCTAAATTCCGTTTCTTGTGTATATATGTATTTTTCTCTAGCAAACACAGGAGTACAATTTGCCTTACCTTTACAGGCTGTTTCACAGCCGTTTAGTTCAATTTCTTCTTCATTTACATGACAACCTGTAGTAATAAGAAATGCGAAATTGGTAATTGAGGTCCTACTTGTGAAGGATAGAGGGCATTATTTAAAATGCTTCGGGTATGCAACGCAAGTATGAGAAAGAGATCTCGAGGATTTTCTTGAAAAGACAGGTGACGTCCAATGGCGACCTATGAAGGGCTTGGTAAGATTTGAATGTTTCTTTACCTCTTACCACAAGCCAGTGACGAGTTATTTCCAATCCACCTTCAGTTTGAATCATAGATGAATAAAGGGCCGTATCTGATTCCTGCAGTTGACGTATTTCAAGAGTTTTGCCTTGATTTGAGATAACAAAGCGCGGGTCGCTTTGAGGCAAGGGTTTTGTCTCACGCGTCCATGTAACAGTGCCGTTCACTTTGAAGAAGTGTAAACCTTGGAATGTAACGCATTCTCCTCTCCTTCTTTCCAAAAGCTTTTTCTCGATCGATATCACTTTCTCAGCTGCAAAGAAAGACACGAAAGTTTAAGTCCTTGTGTCTTAAATCATTTAATCATTTCTGCCACAAATACTACAAACGGTTTGTAGTATTTGTGGCAGAACAACACCATGTACATGTAGTCTGTGAATAAAGGTGCCTTTTATCTATTCCGTCGTATTTGACCCAAAACCAGCTTCAAGAACTTTATGACAAGATGTAAGCATAGTAAGTAGTGTTTCAAGCCGGCCAACAGTAGCCGTGAAGAGAACGGAAAGACGACTTTAGACGCTCAGAATTTGTCGGAATATCACCGATGCTCTCGTGTCACACCACAGATATCATTCGGTTAAATTGGTCTGTGATCTCAGATTAATATTATCGTCGATAAAAAATCTATTTGACAAACTTATAACTGTATAATTTCCAGAATGACAATATGATGAAGGCTACGATTTCTCCTTAAACTAATTTAAAAATCACATGGTGTCCTATTGATTTTGTACATGCACAAAAACCTTATCGAAGAAATTACACAATCCACACAAGCTAATGGCATTATTTTTTTTTCCGTAGACAATTAAAGGTAATCCGTTAAAATTCTAAATTTCACCTTAAGTCTTAAATGTGAACAATATCACGCTCTTACCTTGAGAAATCGTCGCAAGGTCAAACAGTGCTAGTAACAGGAAAAACTTCATCTCATACGCCGGGCTGCCAAACTTCCAACTCTTTACGACTGATTTGAATTCAAGTTGAAAATGCCTCTCTGCTGAACAGAACACAACCACGTTGAGTTTAGCTGTCTCCGTACCTTTGGCTCCTACACTAAAAGTATTGTTCGAGAGTTGTTCATATTGTTGCCGACACCGTGAAAATGTTCGAAAGCGAGAGTTTCGAAGCGCTTTTCACGGGTAGTTTTATCATGGAGAGGTTGGCGACTTGGGAATGTCAACCACAACTGCGTTATTTTTTACGTCAGTACGGGAATATTTGCTCTTACATTATGGACTATTCCTACTCAATTAATAACTTAATTAATTACTTATTAATCACAGGCCACTTCGGTCACGAAAAGAAGTGTTGTCATGTTCGTATGCTTAATCAAATCATATCGATCCAATGAACTCATCACCCAATAAGAAGAGGTTTCGAGAGATATATTCTAGTTATTTCACTAATGCTAATAAATCGACCCAAATACCATTTTTAACTGTGTTAATTTTCTGGTTCTGTGTTCTGCTATTTGACTTAGCTTTTCCACGTCGAGTAAGGCAACCCCCGAAAAATAATCATTTGCTGTCCTGAAAACAATGTCCCGTTCGAAACAAGAAAATGAAAAAAAATAAGTGAATTAATAAACGCAACAGTCGAAACAGTACTCCTCACAAAGCAACCGAACAACACCTCCGGTGCTGACGAAGACGAGCCGAAGAATTATCGACGAACGATACAAAATGAAGCGAGGTTACCAAGCTAATGCCGAGTATTCAATGTTTTCAGCTGGATGTTTTGCATGAAATTCATCAACAATTAAGTGAAATTATTTAGGACATTTACAGAAGACGGGAAATATATAGGCTGGGAATATCGTTTGAGGTAGGTTCTTGCGATGAAACTTTTTGTTTATGACACATTCCACGATCTAATTGAATAGAAATGATCGATTGAATCGTTAGCCAACGTACTTTGGGGATCGCAAAATACTCTTTCTTGTTATGTTTATTCGGTTTCCTTGTTCGCTTTTCTCGCCGTTGGCGCGAAAGAGCTTCGATGTTTTTATTTTCGGATTTAATTTGTTCCTAGTTTTTCAGTCAAGGAGTCTTAAAAGTATCACTGATTTTCGTTAGAACGTTCTAGAAGCTTTTAATTTAAAGATGTTCAGTCATAATTTTCAGATATGTTAAATACATTTCAGATATCGAAAATTTCGTTATCACGCGCAAATTATCTTTATGTAAATACACGCAGCAATGTATTATAAACCGAAAGTAATTATAAATCCAATGTTTACTCCCTACATCGATAGAACTGGTGATTCATGATCCAAAAAACAGCATCTTCTTGTGGCGAAATACAATCTACAATTATATAACTCTAATCAATCAATAACAAAATAATTATATACAAAATTAATTATGCATCATTAATGGAAGAGATGTTGCGTTGTTTGTGAACAAGAATGTTAAAATAAGCATGCAGCTAGTGTACTGATAGTTTCGAAAGAAACTGTTTGGGGCTGCATTGGTGGGGGTAACGAAATAATTTGGATATATCAACAAAGTTGAAATGGTAAATTGGCCACCGTAACGATTACAAAAGCAGACGTTTCCAGCGTTAGCCCCATTTTCTGCCTTTAACACACAACACACAATTCCTCTATTCACTCCGACGAAGGGCTAACACTCGAAACGTCAGCTTTTGTAATAGTTACGGTGGCCAATTTACCATTTCAACTTTGTTGATATAACCAAATTAGGACAAAACATACTTCATTTTTATGGCCAGTTAATCTGATAATTATGATATCCTAAACACCAGAACAGTAGGCAGAGGAGAATTCATTTCACAATCAAGATTTTCTTCAGTTGAAAATCTTTTTCTTCGTTTTCTTAAGCTGAATTTTTCATCCAGGGATTAAACAGGAAAATCAATTTTTTTTGTAGTCCCAAGAGGTCTTTTCTTTTGTATTTTTTGGTAGTGAATCCCTTGCACACCTTTGAAAATTTGATTATAAAAAAAAAAAACACAGCCCACCACCTACAGAATTGTTAAAGACCCTCCATTAAGGGATGTTTTTGTTGAACCAGTAAGTCAGTCAGTCAGTCAGGCAGTCAGGCAGTATGTGATTCAGTCAATATGTAAAGCAGCTAGGCAGTTCATGAATACGTCAATAGGGAAGTGCTTTAGTTAGTCAAGTAAGCAGGCAGTATGCTAATCAGGTAATAAGTTTGTTAGTTTGTCTGTCAGTCAGGCAGGCAGTATGCAAATTAGTCAATAAGTCGGTCAGTAAGACAAGCAGGCAGGTAGTTTGTCAATCATTGTGAACAAGTCAATCCACCAGTCTGGCAGACAGGCAATGTGTGATTGAAATTAAGTCAGTTTACCAGTTAAGCTTGACATGCAGGGTTTTTGCACTTTTTCAGGAACCCCATTCAAGGACTTTCAAGGACTTTTTAAGGTCATTTTCAAGAACCTTGGCTCTCAAATTCAAGGACTTTTTGCATTAAATAGGAGTTGATAGAATTAAAACACATTGCTCTTTATTGTGAAAAGTAACAGATAGAAACACACTCATGTCTTTGTAATGTATATAAATCACGTGTCAAACATTGTAATCAGAAGCAGGATTTGAAAGGAAAACTCTTTTTCACGATTTGTGCTAGAAACTTACACGTTCAACACCGAAAACAAAGGAAAACTTGGACTCTGATTCCTCTACACCTATTTTCAAAGACCTTTCAGAAATTTCAAGGACCTGAGTCTAAATTGAAGGGTTTTTAAGTCCTTGAAAACAAAAAATTAAATTCATGGACTTTCAAAGACTTTCGAGGAGCATAGGAACCCTGGACATGAATCAACAGATAAGTTAGTCAGCCTAGCAGGCAGGTAAGCAACCACAGTTTAATAATAATTAGAAACTAGAGACCTCAGTCAAGCAGTCAGTCAGTTAGCAAAACAGTGAGGGATTTACTGTATGCATGACTGTAGGGTAATTTCAGATCAAAAGAACTGTAAGAGATAAAACTTATGCCCACTTTTACACAAGATCACCTCGGTCCATGTACAGTGGAGGTGGTCTAGTCCACAAGATCACCTTGGTCCATGTAAAATGGAGGTGGTCTAGTCCACAAGATCACCTTGGTCCATGTACAATGGAGGTGGTCTAGTCCACAAGATCACCTTGGTCCATGTACAATGGAGGTGTTCTTAAGTCTACAGTCTTATGAGGGCCAGTTTGTATGAGAGACTCACTTACATGTATTTATTCTATTTGTTATTTATCTTCCTTTTACAGACCTGTACATTGGTCAGCTGTCATCTTACACCATGAAATACTCTAGACATATCTAATTATAGGAGAAGAAAATTCCTGGCAATTTGAAGTATGGAGGGACTGATCGAGTGTTTTGATTTGCTTCCAAAACAGCTTAATATCTTGCTACTGTGACCTGATAAGAAATGAAACTTTTGAAACATTTGATAACACGATCTTGATGTAGTGATTGCAATGGGGGTAAGCACATCCACATTAGAGCAGAATTTATCTGACCCAACCCTTGTGCGTGTACCTCGATACACATTAGAGGAGAAGAGGAAAAAGCAATCAAAATTTAACACCCTTAAGAAGAAGCTCTCAAGGAGTAAAAGTGGTTTCAAGAGCCATGACCATGGAAAAATGCTGAGAGACTTAACACAAACATGGACTGTACAAGAGATCAATGCTTTAGTTGAAGAATATGAAGCAATGATGAATGTAAAAGAGCTAAAGACTCAAACCAATCTTGTAAGGCAATCTGCACCAAGTTTGAAGAAAGACCTTCTAAGGCTTCTAGAAGAAGGGACTTGTGCTGACACAACACTTGTATTTGAGAACAACCAATTCCATGTGCACAAGGCTATTCTTTCATGTAGATGTCCTTATTTCAAGGATCTTTTATCACAGTATACAGACCAGCATCCTGTCATTCCAATGGACTTTAAAACAGAGGGAATGACAACAGAAATTTTTTCAGCTCTGCTCTGTTACTTGTACACTGGAGACTTTATGACAAAAAAATCAGGCTTAGAATACATTGATGTTCTAATCAATTTGGGTGAAGAGTTTGGCACACCCAATGTTTTGGAACAGGATTTAAACTTACTTTTCAAATGTGGTGAATATGCTGATGTTGCATTTGTTTTTCCAGCTCAAGACTCTTCCGATACATACATGGCTGCAGATGGCAATGCAATTTCTGATCACACGTATGAGATTTTATGCCACAAAGCTATTCTTTGTGCAAGATCACACTATTTTAGATCACTCTTACTCAAATCCGACTTGAGTTCAAACAAATGGAGGACAGGTTCTGGAATGACAAGACTTGTTTTAGATGAATCAGTCATAACTAGGCAGTACACTCGTATAGCTTTACAATGTATATACACAGACTCTGTAGATCTGTCGTCTGTTGTTAAGTGGAGCTCTGAGGACAGGAAATATTGTTCACCCAGAACTCATAAACTTTTGACGTCAGCAGAAATTGCCATGGAAGTATTTGAGGTGGCAAGCTTCATCGATTTACCAGTACTGATACAAGGTAATTTGTTTATATTCATTGTAAAGTGTGAATCATACATTATGACATAATGGCACAAAAGCACAAGGTTATGTCTATTTTGTTTTGTTATTTTAAATTTACAGGATTTTGCTACTGACTTGATGATGACCTTTGTTTTGCTCTTGTGTCGCTTGTGTGCATTATGCTTATGTTGCCTTGCTTGACAGAGCTGAATAATGAAATGCTACGTCAGTGGGTATGCAGTCAACAACACAGGCTCAAGTGTCCTAGGTCTAAAATTTAGCAAAATTAGCAGAAAATAATAAGAGCTGACCTTTAAAACAGAGGAACTCTATTTTCGTTAAAGGCACTTTCCTATTTCCAAAGGTTTAAAGGAGAAAATTAATTTTTGAAAATTTTTAGGGGGTGTACCAAATTTTTGGAGGTTGTTCTGTAAATGAAAAGCGGCAAGGAAAACGATACCTCGAAGCCACAGAATAGGAAATCAACCATGCGAACGACTCAAAATTGTGTTTCTGCAGCAAAATCTAGCGCATGGGTAAATGCTATTCAGCTCTGTCGCCTTGCTTTGCTATGATGTCAATATATGTAGTTGGTTTTAAATTATTTAAGGTAACAATGATGTCAGTTTTTTTATGTTTTTCCCTTCAGGTAATTCCTTTTAAGACCATGCTAATGTACCAGAAATAAGGGAAAATACAAATCAAACTAGTCTGAAATTTTTGCTGAAAATATTTGCCTGAAAATGCAAGATGTACATATTCACACTATAAATATGACAGCATCGTGATGTTCTTCTCTTGTTATGCTCAAAAAAGTTTGTAAATCACTTGACTCTGGCTCGTGATTTACAAACTGGTTTGTGTCACATCCCAAGGGGTCATTTTGCAGGTAGACTGGAAGAAAGTTCGATCTATAGCTTAAATCAGTTTAGATTGACTCTAGGACAATAACCATGAATCACTCACTTTGACTTGCTCATTAACACATTCAAAGTACCTCTCTTAGCTTGTCTTCAATGTCTGCATCATCAGGTTGTGAAGACATAATTTTGGAGGAATTGTCTCCATCCACTCTTCTGCCGACACTGGAATGGAGTTCTCTCCCTCATGGATCTGATTGGGTCTACAGGCAAGCCATGCAGTTCCTACGGGAAGAATTTGTCAACATTGCTCAATCTGAGATGTTTACTTTGATGCCAAGGAAGTATTTGATAGAGGCATTGAAGTCTGATTTCTTGCAGGTACTTGTTTTTGGTCTTTCATAACTAAATTCTAATCTTAAAAGCCAGCTGTCATTATTGTTAAAAATACTCCTGGTGCAGCACACTTTATGTGCCAACTAAGAAATATGCAGTTCGTTTTTATTTTTTTTTCTTCGCCATTAGGAATAAGACAAAGTCCCATTGTTCAAAGTTATTTTGGCCTCATGTTTGGTCATTGCAGCATAGAATAAAAGTATTGGGCATGATAAAAGAGCATTGTGTAATGTCCAAAGCCAAGTTTTGTTAGTCTTGCCTTAGCTGCAAGGTTAATCCCTAATCTGGGTAGGGACATCAATATGGACGACATGTGTAAGCTGAGTGGGTGGTCCCCTATTTCATATTTTTACACGGAAAGGGTACTATCCATAACTTATAAATCATATTATGGTCTCTCTAATGACTACCTTAATAACTTAGTTTCGAAGCAGGAGCACAGATACAATCTAAGAAAGATTAACTAAGGACATTTTGATGAAAATATCATATACCAAAGAGTCATCCATGATTAAAAATAAAGATGATGATTTTTTCTATTTTTAAGCATACATCATAGCTTATGTGATAACAACTTTTATATTTGTATTTTCAGATAGTTTTATAGGAACAGCTTTAATGTTTACACACCTTGCATCCATGTATTTTTATATTTATAGATTTTAAATTGTGCAATTGTGATTATAATGTTACTTTAGTGTGCAGGTCCACATCAGGACTTATGGTCTTGCCTATTTTAGTAACCTGCCTTAACAAATAAACTTCTTGTTGTTGTTGAATTTTAATTGAAAAAAAAATCTTTTAAAGTTTGCTATTCAATACAATAATTGGCAGCATTCATGTTTGTTCAGTCTTTGCCCAGTTTTGATCAATTTTTTTTCTCCCCTTCAGGCCTGTGAACACAATGTTCTACTGTCTGTCATCAAATGGGGTGAGGCACAGGTTATTCGTCAAATGAATGAACAAGGTACTGATATGAATATTATTTCTTAAATAGAAACTGTCATCACATGAAATTTGCTAATTCTCAAATTCACAATCAATCCATAAATTAAAGGTCAGTCTATCATTCAATTGTAATTTAACCCATTCACACAGCAACCAGGTAGACAATCAGACATGGTTTGATGCTGCTCTGGTTTAAAGATTTAATGAATATGTAACCGAAATTACAATTCATTGACGCAACATTTCGACCCTCCTGTCTAGTGCCTTCATCAGGGGTGATCTGATCATTGCAACAAGAAGCCCTTTTATTTGCTCGCTTAAATTAGCTGCCTTTTTTTCTCTAATTAGTGAGTGATTATATTTCCCTTTTTGAGTGTTATTTACTATGCTGACAAACCACAACCTGATTTTGGATACGAGTCTTTCAGATAAGTTTCAGAAGTGTTTTTTTTTTTTCTGTTCTTTAAGATCCAGTCCAGGACAACAAGAAGAATGCCAAGCGACGCGAAATCGATAACAAACAGCTAAAGAGGGTTCTGGCAGGCGTTATCGAACATGTGCGAATTGGTCACGTGCTTCCCCCGCACAGTGAGCTCTTGGACGGGGTGTTCCGCAGGGGTCTTGTTGACCGGGGCATGCCCCTGGATATTGGAGAAGGAAGTTTTTATCCCAATCTCCCATGGATGAGAAGGAGAGAAGAGAGGGACTTTGTCAGACCCAGGCTCTTCTTGCCTTACTTTGAGGAAGCTAAGGTAAGTTAGCACTCCGTCAGAGCGAAGGGCTCTTACTTTAGACAGCACCACAATTTCTTCAGAAATCCCGCTCCCCCTTCTTCATTTGTAAGTGATCTTAAATTTATTACAGTCAGTGTTGGTCTTGGATGATCACGAATAGGCCATTTTACAGTTGTGTACTTAGTTGCCAAGCCTTTGATTCAGAGTGAGGCTGAAGGTGACCTTGTTGTGATAGAGACCTGTATCTACTTAGCATGATAACAAAGTGATTTACATTTGAAAGGCAGCAAGGTTTATATCATAACAAGCTCACCCCTAGCCTCACTCCCATTCAAAGGCTTGGCAACCAAGCACACAACTGTAAAATGGACTGTTGGTTCTCGTGAACTTTGTGAAACGCCCGGGACATTTAAATGAATAGTTTCCAGTCTTGCGTGTCAACTAACAAAACAATAGGGAGTCCAAGCCTTCTCATTTGCCATCTGCTTTCAAACCTATTGACAGCCCTGGCTGGAAAGCTTAAACAGGCGTTCAGGCCGGTGCTTTACTTTTGGAAATTTTGGAGAGATTTCCGTATAACGCCATACCAATCAAACATAAAGCCGAAGTCCCAAAGGTAATCTGTTGTTTTGCTTCTGTTTTCTTTTAACCAATAATTGTATGCATAATGAAGTATGGGGTCATACGGAAATCTTGCCGAAATTTTCATTCCTGGTGGTTGTTGCATAAAGACCTCATTCCCCACGAATTAAACTTCCCCTCCTTCCTTTTTGTACGCCGGATACATATGCTAAGACATCCTCTTGATTGTAGGTCATTCTTGAAGAACACAAAGAAGCGGAAAAAGAGCTAATTAGAAATCGGGTGTCACGGGCTCCGCACAACATGCCCGACACACTGTACATGTTAGAATCGCACAAAAGGACCTACACTGCACCAGCGACCTTCTTTGCGTCTTTGGCAGCGGGAAGACTGGATCGAGACGATCGACGTCAATCTATGGGTCTGGGCTCTAATAGGGATGGAAACGAGTTGGAAAGATACATGAGAAGCGTGCGAACGAACGAATGGTCTTCAGGTATGTTGGCCGGCTCTGTTTTGTTCTGTTGTAATCGATTCTTATTCAGAGCTAGGTTCAAGTTCTTATTCTTATACTGGTGCTATTCTTTGTTATTTTGTCCTGAAAGCTGAATTCGCGATAATAAAAAGTTTTTATCCGTCTGAGAGGTCATGTCTAGAAGTCTATAACCCCTTTGAATAGACGGGGAGTAAACATGACTAAGATCGCATTTCCCCAGAAAACCAAGCCAAACGTACATGTACCTTGCGAATTTCCGGAAACGTTTTGTAGTTTTTTACATTCTCAGTTTTCTTCCATTTCTTATCAATCGTCTTTTCCATTTTAGATGAAAGAGAAGCTGCCATTAGTGGCGCGCCAGTAACAGGGAGAGAGCTTGCTCTCCCGGATGTAGCAATGGAGGCACCATCATGTATCCCGGATGATTATTTGTACAGAAGAGCGGGGCCTTCTGCCGAGGTAACCACACAAGTCACATCAGACCAAGGCGTAATTAGAATAAACTATTTTCTGGTTATCCACAAGTTATTTCTGTTGTTTTTTTTCTTAAATCTTGTCATTCTCTTCACAGATATACCCAGTACCAGATGTTGCCCTTCCCTCCTCCCCAGCGTCCAGTGTGTCTTCGTCCTCTGGTGGTGTTCCCCCGGAATATTTCCATATGGACCTTTTGTTGGAATCTTTAGATGATGACGGAACGATTGGGAGTAGCTAACGATGATCATGAGTGGCTAAATTTCTATCATTCTTAATTAGCAACCAAATTAATATTTCGTGTTATTTTCAAATAGTTATCTCTAATCCTTGTTTTGTCAAATTTTGGTGAATTCTGGAATTCTTCAAACTCAGCTCTTCAACTTTGAGAGCCTATGATAGCAGAAGTTTATCCTCTATTAAACAGTTCAACGTAGATGAAGCTGCATTCGAAAAAACTGAAAAAACCACCGTACGCGGCGCAATATTGACCATTATCTTGCAAAACATTGGACGCACATCTTAAGGTAACGATAACCTTTAAGTTTTGAAATTCTTAAAGTATGTAAGTTATGGACAACGACTAAATTTTTTTTCTAAGGATAAAAAAGAAGAAATATTTGGATTAAGATTAAAAAAAAAAAGTCTTTACAGATGCCATGGGAAATTATGGAATCCTGGGAGATAGAGAGAGTAGTGGACCTTGCAGTACTGAAACCTTCAACTCCCAGAAGTGATTAACATGTAACTTCTCCCTTTAACATCTATACATTTTCCAGCAAACAGGTATTGAGAATACTCAAACTTATCACTGGTACAAGTTGTTATCTTGATCTTACACCAAGTCCTCGTAACTGATTTAGAAGGAAATAATTTCAATATGTCAACAAAGTTGAAATGGTAAATTGGCCACCGTTACGATTATAAAAGCTGACGTTTCGAGAGTTAGCCCTTCGTCGGAGCGAATGATTTACAAGGAGATGCGTAGCAGTAAGATAAGAGATTTAACGATCAGACCTGGTTGTTTAAAGGGTAACCAACGCTATCCACTGGATTGATGTCTCTCCGGTGTATGTGACAGTACGCGTTGTTACCATTTATCCCCAGGTTAGCGTAGTATCCGCTGTCAGAGCGTTATCCACCCTTTGAACGACTGGGCACTGATTTTGGGAGTTACGGAGTCAGATGACTCTGCGGTTCAACAGAAACGTCAATTTCCGTTTAACAAGTCAGACAGTTATTTAGCTGGCTCATGAAACCAAGGCATTCTGAGAGTTCTCGTTAGCAAGCCAGTGAGATATGATATCAATGTGTCTGAGAATAAAACAAATTCATTATTGGTCATTATTTAAGTTTCGTATAAAAGTTTGAGGTCAATGTTGGTATCTGAGCAAAATGCAACACTTCTCCTTCCATAAGCCAACCGTGGTTAGCCTTCACCAAGAGGGGCCTGCCCTGAGTTGTTAGCAATTGACTGTTGTTGATTTAAGGAAGAGATAGATACGCAGTTGCCCAACTCTCCTCGCTCCCTCCAGGGGGCGGGAAGATGAGAGACCCTGGGAACGAGGTTGGCAGTTGCCCAGGGGCGGGTTGTTCAAAGGCGGGTTAAGATAACCCAGGGTTACCGTGAAATTGAATTGCAGATTTGAAAGCTTTAAAATAAAATTCACTTTAATTTCATTTGTTTACAATTTGATGAGTTAATGCTCTAAGAAGAATTGGGAAAATTATCTTAAAGTGACTTTTGAACAGAGAAATATAGAAACCTGGATTCAAATTTACCCCAGGTTAGCGCTAATTGGTCTTCGAACAACTGGGCCCAGAACTGGATCGAAAGTTTGAAATTGAAGTGAAGCGAGCAAACACAGGTTGAATCAACAAATGTAGTCAAAGCTTTTTTTGTTTAGCTAATAACACTTCACTTATTTTTATAGTTTTATATCGTTATTTTTGATATTTGATACCGATTACTTTCAGAAGACATTTCAATATTGTTAAAAGCGGTGTTTTACTGAATCCATACAAATATCTTATAGTTAAATAAAAAATTGAATGTCATTAAATCAATAAAAAATATGCATGTCGAAGATGAATTTGTTTTCTTTTGATTTGTGGCATTTTAGCCAGCTTTGTTCTCTTACGGGACATCTCATAGGTGTTTCTAATGCATCGTTTTAGCGCAGACGGCGAGTGCACTATATTTCAGTTATTTCAGTTGCTTTCTAAATTTCGAAATGCTTCTCAATATCTCGAAATATGTCGGTTGAAACTAAAACTGTCAATCATGATTACTGTCACTTTTTCTTCTTGGAGTCCTTCTTTGAGTCTGATGCCTTCTTTGGGTTTCATGATGCCAACACGTAAGGGACTTATAGGGGTCTCAATAACTTTTTCCATATGGTGAAATAGGCGGCTGCGCCCCAATGCAAAATCCGAACAGAACAGCCTACTCCGCTGATAAGCAGGACTGCACTCTGAAAGGTCAATCCGATAAATCTGGTCGAGATTTGTGAATGCGCATGCACGTTCTAACCAACTTTTAAGAACAAAGTCTATCTGTGATGTGTTCCGAGTTTAAGTAAAGAGGGAAAAAAATAAGCTATTGCCAATGAATTCCTAATAACTTAAAATGGTTTTGACCATTTTACTTCTTACGTTAAAGAGAGAACCGAAAGCAGTATTTTGGTATGTTTAATTCATTCAGCGTAAGCCGTTGCACTTAACATCAGCTAGTGAAAGTATAAAGTCGCAATCATTTTCTGTCAGCCGGAATCATAATTGTTCCCTTTGGCTATGGTCCTGAGCAGGGTTAGCGATTCCCCAACGATGTCCACATATTTTATTTTCTTAGGGGCGCAACGACCCCAGCATGGCGTCATATTTGTGGAGTCACGGTTTTCTTAACTAGAGCGAGGCATTTCGCATTCAATTTGATGTTTGAACTAGAGCTACTCGCCATGTTGGGGGATTGACGTCGAATTAGAGCAACGGAGACCAAACCAATTATGAAATAAACCGCAGAAATACTCGCCTTTGCAGTCAGTTTAAAGGCTATCCACATGGCTTTGTCTTTTTTTTAGACGCGCAAAACTGGCGTACTTGGTCTTAGAGAAAAATACAACTTGACTAAAAGCCGACAAGAGAGCGAAAAGATATAAAAAACTCAGCGAGGGGAAGAGAATGAAGATTGAAATTGGACTACAATACAAACATGATCTTGATTTATTTTTTCGAGGAGGAAAACTATCATGGAGCGTAGCCCCTTTAATGACTAAAAATATTGTTTGTGAAAAGGAAAAAACAATATCGTAACTCAATTTATTGCGGTCACTCTTATCCGTTTCAAACAAGGATTTCGAGGGCTGTGAAATAATTAACTGGCTTTAAAATGGACAATTTTTTTTTTTTTTTTAAGAGTGGAAATGGAGAAGCCGAAGCAAAATGAACTGGGATGTTGAAGAAAGGAAAGGACGTGACTCGTGAGAGGAGGTAATTCGTGAAAGAATGTGATTCGTGATCGTTCATGAAAGTTACTTTATGCGAAATACGAAAGACAAACGTGAGATAAATTGCACAATTTACGACACGGTTGATCGTGCAAGATTGTCACGTCTAAATAACCATAACCAAACAATACAGAGGCAATATTTGAGTTTTATTTATTTCCCGACTCTACAACAGTGATATTATTACAATAGAAAAGTTTCGACAACATCTTGGTTCTAAAAGGTTTTACTACCTTAAATAAAACTTATTTAAATTTTTTTCTTTAGTTTTCGTTAAACTGGATCCTACCCTAAAAGTATCGTTGGCATAGAGACGAACTTTAATGGTAAACATCTAACTACAAAACCTATATTTCCAATCTCCAAATATTGTGTTCAGAATGAACCAGAACTACAATTTGATTAATTGATATGGCAAATCTTTGGAGAACTACTTGGCCTTTTTTTTTTTCAACTTAAACGACTTCTGATTTAGTTACGTGCAAAACATTGGAAGGTTTTCACTTAGTAATTACTGCGTTAAGTGCACTTTGGGTGAATTATGTTAGGAATGATCTTCTCTTGAACGTGTATCGACAAAGGATTAAAAATAAAAATGATCAAATGCACACAGGAAGAAATTTAAATATTGGCGACCTCAATCTGCTTGAGGAAAGATTGTCACTATAATATCCACAGCCTCAAAACAATAAGGAATAATTTTAAACTAATGGTTAATGCCAAACACTCATTTCCGTCCCCTATTACGAAGATTCTAACTGAATCATAATTATTCGATGCCATTGGAAAAAGTCAGTTGATTTTTATCTGTCCTGGGAAATTATTTTAAACTTCATTATAATAAAACGGCATAACATGAAACAAAGCGGTAACTGTAAAATTTACTGCTAAGTTTTTGACTAATCAACGACAGCTTTCGCGAAAACACAGCGGACCTTTCCTTACAAGATCAACGGTAGATAATTCGCTAATAATGAAGTTGTTTAACAGCTTTCACTATTGACGTCGGCAGTAAAATAAACGTTTTAGCAACTGAAAGCGTCAAACTGATATACGTTCGAACAAAATGTTAAAAATCAGCTCATTCGGACCCCGCGATTATTTTTTATCTACCCTATAGCAACGAGAATCGCTTTGTTTTCGCGTTTAAAGGAAACAGATTTAAAAATAGCAGCTGGACAAATAACCATATTTATCAAAATCAGCTAGATAAGCCTTTTGTAATCCGCTCTTACTATTCTCCGGACCCTCTCTGGACATCAAAAGAAAAGCAAAGATCTGATCTCTAACGATCTCAGGCCGAAAAAAAGTCATTAAATGTTTATTTCCATGCACCTACAACCGACAGCTGGTAAATATCAACAAAAAAAATTGAGCCATATGAACCTGCTCTAATATAAACCATTCTCAAGGCTATCCTTTTCACAGCTTTATCGGATATTGGTAATAAATCGTGTCCATCGTTTCAGTTTGCTGCTCATTTCTAATCGACGATGGAGGTTTTCATTTCCAAAGTACAGTCCTCACGGCAGTTTTTGGCCAAAACAAGTTAGCGAAACGCTGCAGGCACACTGAGAATTCTTTGCTCCGGGAAACCTAGCTTGGTTTTCTTATAATCATAGCTATCGCTCTTTGTTCTAGCTCTCTTTTCTGCAATAGGGGAACAATGATCTTCGCTCAGGATGTTATATCCGACTTTTGATTTCTCAACCTTTTGAGTCACTGAGACATTAGTCACGTTGGTTGAAAATCCCTCATTTGTAAATCGAACAAAGCTATCGCCGCTCTTTGCTCGAGGTTTTTTCGGTGACGATTGCGGAAATTCAATGAAGACTTGGTCAGGATCTACCGTCTTTTTATAGCTTACTAACTCAATCACTTCTGTCGAGCTACAGCGTTTATGAGCGTCAACATCAGTGAGCGATCTCAAACGCCGCCCAATAATTTTTTTAACCGACGAGGAACTACTTAGGCTTGTCTCTTTCGACGCCTCCTCTTCCTTCTTGGAAGAATTATTCTGTTTTTTCTTTTCATCTCCCTTCGTTCCGTGAAAACCGCCACGTCTGGTAAACACATTCTGTGGCTCTTGCATCCGCCTAGCCGCGTTTGCCACCGCGTTTTCCCCGCGCGGGCTTTTCTTACCGCGTTGCACTGCGTTTACACTCCACGCGAACATGTCCTTGCAACCGGCTCGAAACTTCTCGTTAAAAAGCGCGTAAATAAACGGATTGCAGATGCTGTTACACAGTCCCAACGAATAGGTGATCAGACGCACATAATCCACATGATTCGTAGTACTTTTCACGGTCCATTCAATTGCACTGATATAAATCAACAACGGCAGCCAGGTGACAAGAAAAACTAGAATAACCGTGAGGAACATTTTCAGTACTTTCTTACGGCTGCGGATGAAAGCCTCCACAGGACGTGAATCTCCCAGCTGGCCACTTTTCCTTCTCCAAACTGTCCGGTAGATTTTTCCGTAGAGGACGATTAAGGTAACCAAAGGGAGCAGATACCCAAACAACCCGAGGAACATCACGTAAATAAGACCGGAAATTGTTGTAGGAATGGTAGCACAGTAGGTGAAGGTCTCGTTGGTGTAGGGAGCTAGAGGTGCGTCCTTTAACTCGGTCAAATAAAGGCTTGGAGATATGACGAGAAGCGCGTAAACCCAAGAGCCTAGAATCAGCTTATTTGCTGTGCCATATGACATGATATTTAAAGGATGCACCACAGCTTGGTGGCGATTCCATCCGATTGTGATCAGTAAAGTCATGGACGCTTCGGGCGACAAGTACTGGAAGAACCTTGTGACTTTACAAATGGGCCTACTATAGCTTTTCATTCCGATGCCCTCTTTGAAGTTGATCACCAAAAACAATGGGATAGCGACAGTGCTTACAATCAAATCGCTGATCGCTAGATGAAGTATAAAGCGGTTCATCACAGACCGCATCTTTTTCGCTTTTAGGATAACAGCGACAACAAGTCCATTACCAAAAAGTCCCACCACAGAAGCGACACTGAGACATGTTATGATGGCGATCTTGAATCCTTCATCGTGAATTTGGGTACCCGCACGTTCGTGACTTAGGTTCGTATTATTGCTCAAAGTAGCCATCTGTAAGGAACTTAGTCCTTCTTGACACTACGATGGCGCCAGATTTTTGGTTTGCTCTGTATCCCAGGGGTACACGTGTAGTTATTTAGAGTCTCTCTTGCGGATCATGTAACTAGAACGAACTATTTGACCAACCTATGAACTTAAGACGGTTTCGCGTAGAGCTTGAAATGTTACCAGTTGTAATTCAGAAATAATGTTCACGACCCCACGACATGTCCTAAATTGCTCTCGTTACAGTTTGTCACCACACAACTATTCCATTTCGGCGACTTTTACGTGACGCGAAGCAAAGGCGTCGATTGGAAAAGTAAATCGATCGGTTGACATAGTTTCTGTTGACTCACGTTTTTCGCAATATCCTGGGAAAACGATGACCTCAGTCCTTCAAGCGGCGATTACATTCAAATATCAAGTATGCTACGCCTCCAAATATGCCAGATTCGATTCACTTCACTGCATACACCGCACAAAAGATTCAATGAGGTGTTACAAGAACACAGTGTGAGCACGCTTACAAATTTTTAGAAAGCTTGACTTTCAAAGTGCTAATATTGAACAAAAAGTGCGATTTTCTAAGGGACTGCTGTCTTTTTTGTTAGGACAGAGTTTGTTGCACGACTTAAATAGCTTGCAAATTATTATTATTTTAATTCTCAGCTTTAATCACTTACCCCCCGATTGGATAATGTCCATTTAATGACGCAGTATTGTGAATTAAAGAAAAATTTGCAACTCAAATAATCGGACAAACTAAGTTTTGTGGTTTTTATTGTCCATTTATTTCCACATGATAGCTTTTTGAGGGTTTTAACCCTAATGTGATAAAGTTATTCGCATTGACCTGCAACCAGGATATGGTAAGATGAAGTAGGGTACTTCTAAGTAAGTAAAATCCTCGAAAAACTCCAAAAGTGAATTAAATCGCGAAAAATAAATAATCGCCAAATCAGCAGGTGTTATACATAAAACCATTTGTTAGGCAAACACTGTAACGGTTGTCCAAAGCTAACTTGTCTCGTTTAACAATACTTACAAAAAATATTATTCCGAATGTGGTGGTTTTCCTTTTTTGAGTCCCCCCTTTTATCCCTCAGTCGCGTTTTAAAACTCTCTCAAGAAAAAATAACTGACCCGAACAAAATCCTTCACGAGTTGCTTGCAATAAAAAATTACTACGGCAATTTCATAAGAGGCGCTAAGTCGAGTTTTCCTCTCACCAACCGACTAAACAACTGAATAATGGTTGAGCGAGTTCTCGATGTGATATCATATCGTGAGTACGCACAACCAAGAGCCCATTTTTATGAGCTCCTAGCAGAACTTATTGTCTGCTAACTTCATTGATTGCACTTCTACCAAGGAAAAAAATGGATTTGGAGACGGATGTTGCGTAAAGGAAGCGTTTCCAAGATAATGCATCACCATTAGGCATCATTTCGTTCATTCACCTATCGGAAATAATGGAACAATGGGAATAACTAATCATGAGACTTTTTCTGTTCCTGGAAGAGAAACGAGGTTTGTGTAACCGATAGAACTAGGTTTCCCATTTGGGTTCTTGGATTGAAAAGGATTTTCCGCTGAAAAGGGTCACAGGAAAACAGTTCAATTTCAGCAGTATTATTTGTTTCACGAAGTAATCCTGAACGATGAAATTACAAGACACCTTCGGTTCACCGTGTATTACATTGAACTTTGGCGTGTGCGTTTCAAGGTTTCCTCGGATTCTCTTTAAAATCTCCTGAGCCTGAATTCTTGTGAGAATAGCGCTACTGAAGACAAAAATAATAAAATAAACATGGTAACCTGTAGCCTGTGTACAGCCGCCCCATCCCTCAAAAAAAATCGGGAAGGGGGCCCCCTTCCCGATTTTTTTGAGGGGATGGTGCGGCTGTACACAGGCTAGGTAATTTGGTTTTATTAACTGAGTTGATAAAGTAAATTGACCACCATAGAGGGTTACTAAAGCTCAATTGCAAGTTTCGAGCGTTAGCAGAACGATTATCTAAATCGGTGAGTATAATAGGAGGCCGGATTTCCACAATTTTCTTGAAATCATAAAAAACCAGACTGATGCCGTATCACGTGGAAGATTAATACTTTCTAATATCTTAGAGCAGCCTACGTTATGAAACGAAAAAAAAACAATCAACGCCAAGAATGACCATTATAAATACAAAAGATGGTGTTCTGAAGTGTAAAGCCAAAGATGAAAGCTTTAGAATACAAGGTTTCTTTATTTTTTCAGCTTTTCAGTGAAAAATGTTTAGACAATTTTCATAAGTGGTTCTGTTACAGGCCTGGAGCAAAAGAAGAATTATGAGCCCTGCAGAAAAAAAAATCGAGCCTTCAACCGCCTTAGAGGCTTAGCTTAGTCGTTTCTTTGGCGAAAGAGGCTCATTAATTTGTAAATATCGCTTAAAAAGTATTATGATTTTCTCGCTCTAGGCTCCTCCTTTGAAGCTCGATTTGCGGGTAAATTTTAAATTTTGGACTGCAGACAGGAAACTGCCTTAGCTTATTATTTCTTCCCAACTGAAGCAATATCGGTTTCTGAAAAAAATCCCCAAAACAGAAGGGAAAACAACTGTTTCCTTGTTATAGCATTCAAACCTCTGACCTTTGATTGGAAATCAGGGGACCGTCTAGTGAACTTCGCAGCGACAAAAAGTCTTAACGTTAACTAAATTACTCTTTCAGTCATATTCCGCGAATTACGAACTCCCTTGTAGCTGACATTGATAATCACCGTAATTTTTACTAGATAAAATCAGTGATTGCGGCGTTGCTAATGGTGTCACAGATAACAAAATAAAGCTCTTAGTACACAACAATATGTCAAAATGGCGCTGGTTACAGGAAAAGAACCACTCGGAGTTGATGGAAAGGGATGACACCCAATTATAGGTTAAAAGCTTCCGCTATTGAAAATCAAAATTAATATAGGCCGGCTTCGCGGTTGCCTCCTCGTAGGAATCAAGGAAAATCGTAGAGAAAACAGCAAGAGAGAAAAAATATTTAATTGTCATTATAATTTGGCGTTTTTAGGTATGCGAATCTCAGTAAAAAGCATTCCAAACAAAATGGGGACTTCACGGCCGAGGCACAGAGTTCTGTAAACAAATCCTATTTCATTTTTAATCAAATATTTGTTCCTTCACGAAGTTGGTCGTTAAATCTAGAAAGACATAACCCATCCGCTGCTTTCTTATGCACTCAATCCTCCCACCACGATGCCATCTGCATGATATCATTTTGACTCGATATACTGATCGTGAGAAAGAATCATAGATTTGAAAGATGATGTTATTCAGTGAAAGAGCTCCGACTGCTCCTATTAAGAGTAAAAGCTACATCCTTCCTATTGGTACGTCAGACGCTCTTCCACTTAAGTGCTAATCTGAAGGTGGCAGGTTCGAGTCCTATTCAAAGCCCTCGAAGTTCTATTTCTCCGTATTTGCCTGTATCTTTCTCTAAATGACATCATCTTTCACTTACTCACCATCTTTAAAATTATATTTATCCATACATGTTAAAATGAGAAGAATGACCGTTGAACGAGTAAAACGTGATAATGAAATTTGTATAGTCTTAGACAAGCTTTGTCCATATACCGCTGCGGTGTCTAAATGTGTCCTTAATTTTAACAACTTGGTTGTACGCCCGCGGGGTTTTCTTTTACTGAAAGTGGCCTAATGTCGCCTTTCTGTTTAGCATGGCAGCCGCTCATGGAAAAAGTTATCGAAATCCCAGTGTTAGAATTAGTGCCATTTATCTATTCTTATTGTTCATGTTTTTTTTTCTTTTTTGGGGGGGATTATTTCATTGTAATTTTAAAGTCAATCGCTCAGCGCAAGGTGACATGGATCGGAAATGGTGGATCGCGTTAAACCATTAGAATTATAGGTTTAGTACAATTTCGAAAACATTTTATTGTAATCTCGTGATGAGCGCTTGTTTGTGAAATCCTGAGAAGAATATAACAGCGAAGGGAAAACAAAATCTTAAGGTAAGGGCATCTTAAAGCGTGTTTATGCGTCTTGCGACCAGGATAAATCGTGATCTCGAGATTTATGCTACCAGCAATCGAGTAAGTCCCAACACCTGTGTTATAAGTCAGTTTTCGCAGCCATTCTTTATTAAAGGTCGCTGGGAATACTCCACGATTAAGTAGCGTTAGCTTTAATCCGCCGCATGCGTCATTCACCGAAGGAAATGTCACGTACACACAAGGTTTCCTGTTGCCGCCAAAAATCATATTGAAGTTTTTCATGATGAATTCGTGTGTTTTTTCTTTCCGTCGCATCTTCATTAAGTTCGTTTGTTTTCACGTGCATTGCTTTCAACGATATTGTTACTCTGCGCAGAATTTTCATTTCGTGTTATTTTATTCCGATTGTTTAGAAGTATATCAAAGAGCGTGTTTGTTTGGACATGCACGAGACGGTTTTGGCCATCATATCACCTTTTATCATATAAGGGGCAAAATTACTGAATTGTGATTGGTCAAGACAGAGGGCATTTTTTTTCTTAATTTTTGTAATTGCCCCGGGCAAAATTACTTGAAAATGATTGGCTGAAAATCGCTTAGCAACGGCTGCCAAGGTAAAGAAATTTCTGTTTGTTTTGTAACAATGGCGTCCCGTTTTGCGCGAGATCAGTAAGAAAACATTTTGCCCCTTATATTATAAACAAGTAATCACATGGTTCCTCGTAAAATTAAGGATTAATATCACTTGTGTTTTCGGAAGTTGCAGAAATTGCCCTCGTCGCTGCGCGACTCGGGCAATTTCAGCAACTTCCGAAAACACGCGTGATATTAATCCTTAATTTTACTCGGCCCCATGCGATTACCTATACTTATTAA